CCCCCCCCCCCCCCCCCCCCCCCCCCTCACCTCAGCAGCCTGGCCCCAGCAATGGGGCACGGCTCTGAGCACATCTTTGCACCCTCCATCCCCAGTGAGGGGTCCCCGTGCTCCCCCTGCCCCCCATACTAACCCTTGCTCTCCCTGTCCCCCCAGGACGTGGATGCGGCCACGCTGGCACGCATTGACCTGGAAAGGCGCATCGAATCGCTGCAGGAGGAGATCGCCTTCCTCAAGAAGGTGCACGAAGAGGTAGGTCAGGGGCGACCCCCTTCTCCCCCAGGCACCCGTGGGGCTGGGGACAGATTGGGTGCCCTGAGCTGTCACCTTGTCCGCCCTAGGAAATCCGGGAGCTGCAGGCTCAGCTGCAGGAGCAGCACATCCAGGTGGAGATGGACGTCTCACAGCCTGACCTGACGGCTGCGCTGCGGGACATCCGCGCCCAGTACGAGAGCATCGCGGCCAAGAACATTGCCGAGGCTGAGGAGTGGTACAAGTCCAAGGTGCGGGAGGTGGGGGGCTCCGGTCCGGCCGCAGCCACGATCCTGGCCATCCTGGTGGCCGTGCCCACTGACCCTGGTCTCTCCCCAGGTGTCTGACCTGACACAGGCGGCCAACAAGAACAACGACGCGCTGCGGCAGGCGAAACAGGAGATGTTGGAGTACCGGCACCAGATCCAGTCCTACACCTGCGAGATTGACGCCCTCAAGGGCACGGTGAGCTGCGGGAGGCGCTGGGGAGACCCCCAGCTCCCCTGCAAGGCTGCTGGTCTGGGGCTGCTTGGGGAGCTCGGGGGTGGCGGGCTCTTCCCAGCTCTCTGAGTTGCTGCCATGGGGGGACGAGTCCCCCAGATTTGGGCTGCGCCTCCCCCAGCAGCGCTCTGGGCCTGTGTGAGGTGTTTTGGCAGAGCCCCTGGGTCAAGGCGCAGCCCCGAGCTGCGAGGCTCCAGGCAGGCGGGCGCAGGGCTCGGGGTGTCTGGTTGCAGGCTGGGAAGGGGGTTGCAAACAAACAGGGCACGACAACCCCGCTCTGGCATGGACGTGGTCACAGGAGCCAGCCACCAGCCACCAGTGTGGCAGTGCCACCCCCAGGCAGCCTCCCAGTGCTCCTGCACCCATCTGTGCCCACCCACTGGGGCGGGATGGTTTTTCTGGGAGGCCTGGGACCCCAGGCAGAGGGTGCTGGGGTTGCCCAGCACCTGGCCAGCTTGCTCCCAGTGGACCCTGCTGCCCAGCGCTAGGTGGACGGAGGGTGATGGCCACCCATCGCGGTCCCACGTCAGCTGGAGCCAGCCCAGGGCTGACCATGGCTGACCACCCCCCTCCAGCATCCCCAGCTCCCAGCTCAGGTAACTCCCTGTCTCCCACCTCGCTGAGCTCCCCTGTCCCCCCAGAACGACTCGCTGATGCGCCAGATGCGGGAGATGGAGGAGCGCTTCGCGGGGGAGGCCGGGGGGTACCAGGACACCATCGCCCGGCTGGAGGAGGAGATCCGGCACCTGAAGGACGAGATGGCCCGGCACCTGCGCGAGTACCAGGACCTGCTCAATGTCAAGATGGCCCTGGACGTGGAGATCGCCACGTACCGCAAGCTGCTGGAGGGCGAGGAGAACCGGTGAGTGGCGGG